ATTTCTGTTGAAAGATCATTTTCCATTTACAGCTAATGAAAACATGACATTTAAAATTACAACACATCAAACCACTAAAAAAACATATATAATACAGAAATGTGATAAATGTAACAGCTGGTACTTGGTCTGATATTGTCTGTTTGTTTGACGTTTGCACCACAATGTAGCACCTTCATGCTTTTAGTCTAGTGTATATCATACAGATTTCTGGGACATATCTACATCCAATGTATGCAATCATTTACATTTAGATTCAAATACAAGAAACATTATTGAAGCAAAATATGTGTCTCTGACTACACCAGTGCATACAGTAATAGCTAACAGTAATCATGAAAACAAAACAAAGCACAACAAAGCACAACAAAAATAAAAACACAAGGACTACAAAGGTTTAAGTCTAAAACTAAAAATGTTCCAGTGCATTGTTCCTTTAAAACACTACAAATATCACTTGTAAATATACATAGTACATTATTTAAAAGACACAAGTAAATTAATAGCTCACTTAAAATGAAATTAAAAAGTTTCATAGAAAGATGGACTTGATACTTGAAGTTCAAATTAAGCTGTTCTTATATCAACAGTTAAACTTAATTGTTTGAGTGAAACTTTTTCCACAGGTCACACAAATAAAAGGCCTTCTACCTTATGTGATTAAGTCCTTATGTGATTAGTTATTTGCCTTTTATAGAAATTTTTTTTAATCAAAACTCGTACATGAAAAATGGATCTCACCTGTGTGAATGGACACATGATGATTTAAATCAGATTTGAATGTATTGCTTTTTTCACCGGTTTCACATGAGAAAGGCTTCTCACCTGTATGAGTCCTCATGTGACATTCTAAACTGGTTCTTGAACTGTAACTCTCTCCACAGGTTACACATGTGAAAGGCTTCTTTCCTGTGTGAATCATCATGTCACATTTTAAATTATATTTAGTTCTGAAACGTTTTGAACAGGTCACACATGAAAAAGGCTTCTCACATGTGTGAGTCCTCGTGTGAGTGGCCAAAACAATTTTAGTGAAAAATTTATTTTCACAGCTCGGACATGAGAAATTCCTCTCACTCGTGTGACTCCTCCTATGACAATTTAAGATAGATTTATATAGAAACTTCTTTCCACTGGTCACACAAGAGAAGGATTTTTCACTTGTGTGAGTTCTCATGTGACAAGTTATTCCAGCTTTAGTTTTAAAACTTTTATCACAAGTAATACATGAGAAAGGCCTCTCACTGTTGTGATATTTAATGTGTTGACCTAAATGCTTTTTTCCAGGGAAACGTTTTCCACGAGTCTCACACGAGAAAGGAAAACTTTTTCCACGGTGACAACACGAATAAGTCTTCTCTCCTGTGTGAATTCTCATGTGAATTGTTAAGTTGTCTTTTCTGATAAACCATTTTCCACAGGTGACACATGAGAAAGGTTTCTTGCCTTTGTGAATTTTCATGTGAATGTTAAAAAATATTATGGAAATATTCTTTTACTTTAATAACTTGGTTCACCTGAGTTAAACACAGTATAACTACACACAGATGTTTTTTCTTCTATTAATTGTTAGAAAACACAGCATTTATGAGAATATTTCTACATAATCTGTAGGTTCACAGGATGCACAAAAGAAGGTTCCAAAAAAAGCAACACAGCGCAAGCAGGGGAGAATGGGCAGGGGCAGGAGGAGAGGAAAAAACATCCGCCTTCACTTTTCTCTTGCTCTCGATGAAGGCGGACGCTTTTTTCCTCTGCTCCCTCCCTGCCCATGCCTGCCCTACTTGTTCTGTTTTTGTCCTGTGTTTTCTAAATTCTTGGAGCCGTTCTTTGCACATTATCCAAATCTACAAATTATGAATCTGGTCAACTGATCTCTCAATGCAATTGATCAAATTTTCAATGAGAAGTCTAGGCACAGGAGAGCCCTCTTGGCCTGCGGAGACACACCCGTCAGGATTCACCCTGGATTTATTCATGATAACAGGATTTCTGCTGTTTGGAGCTTGTGGATTCCTGGATTATTGACAAATTTGTGACGGACTTGGCCGAACTAGCGAACACTCAGACTGTTGGTGTGGACAGAGACGAGGACTCTAAAACTCACTAACGGAATGGAATCGGTCTTGGAGAAGTTACTTGTTTCGGTTCAGTGGAACAACCAAACTAATTTGGATAATTGGGAACTGAGATGCATCGGAGACTTTAGGGAAGATTGAAATTCATAATCTACTCAATCTAAGACATTCTGCATCTGAATTCGCTTCCCCCGTGTGGCTTTGGAAGGATAGCATATTTCTAATCTCCTTGAAGATATATAAACAACGCTCTGCCCTCCTCACCCCCTACTGTATCCATGGAGCTGTGAAGCTGAGTGCTCCTAAGGACATCATACCTTGATAACACCTTTATCGGACTTTGACAGGAGCCTCGGCCACCTGGTTCCATGGCCCTTTGATGTCACCGCCTTCACTCATGTCTTGTCACCCATTGTTTTGTCTGAATGTTGCCATCTGCCTTAATGTGTCCTTTCCTCTTTTTTGTTAGAATCGGTGAAGTATTTCCCATTTAACCCAGAAAAGTTCATTAGTAATATCAGAAGTTATGGAGTCTGCTCTATTTAGATCGATATTATACAGCCCATAAATAGAATCAGAATTAGAATAACTACGAACTTAGAATCCAGAGATGCTTAATAGGAACAGTCACTGCTTAGTTTGTATTACTTTTAACCCAGAAAAGGTTTTAGAACAAACTTAGAATTGTGGAGTACTCACTTTAACCCAGAAAATGAATTAGATCAGTCACTCTTTAGCTTATTTTATCAGAAACCGTAGCGTACTAAATATTTAGAAATGGAATTAAATACTTAGGAACCATGAACAGAAGCACTTAGTTTACATACTTTAGGACAACACTAGATTAGTTTTCTTTTCTCTTTGTTCTTTCCTTTGGTTTGTTATTTTGTTTGTATTTCCTTTTAACTCATGTAAAGTACTTTGAATTGCCTTGTTGCTGAAAATGTGCTATATAAATAAAATTACCTTACCTTACTGACAGCTACAGAGGTAGACAGATGCAATGAAAAGAAAAAAGCCATTTTATTTCCCTAATTTTATTACCGAGCTCATTTAGATTGTTTGAGTGATTAATTTATGTGTTATTTATTGTGAAAGGGCTAGGTACAATGTGACAGAGAAGTAAAACAAAAAAACTGGTTTAAGACAAAAAAGCTCATGGGCAAAAATAGCCCTCAGGTCTATCTTGATCAGACAGTTGAAGACGTTGACATTAATGTGTTCTATTTTATGTGACTAACTGACGAGATTGTCCATTGGATCACATGCCATAATCCATCCAAGGTGTTTTTGAGCCTAAGGCTTCTCATCTGAGTGAGTCTTCATGTGATTAATTAAACCACTTCTAGAAGTGTAACTCTTTCCACAGGTCCCACATAAGAAAGGCTTCTTACCAGAATGAATCCTCATGTGATTAAATAAGTGTTCTTTCCTCCCAAAAGTCTTTGCACAGGTCCCACACGAGAAAGGCTTTTCACTCGTATGAATCCTCATGTGATTAACTAAATACGTTTTCAACCGGAAACATTTTCCACAAGTTCCACATGAGAAAGGCTTCTCACCCGTATGAATCCTCATGTGATTAAGTAAATATATTTTCAACCGGAAACTTTTTCCACAAGTTCCACATGAGAAAGGCTTCTCACCCGTATGGATCATCATGTGATTAAGTAAATATATTTTAAACCGGAAACATTTCCCACAAGTTCCACATGAAAAAGGCTTCTCACCTGTATGAATACTAATGTGATTTAGTAAACATATTTTCAACCGGAAACTTTTTCCACAAGTTCCACATAAGAAAGGCTTCTCACCTTTATGAATCGTCAGATGATTTTGTAAATACATTTTCAACTGGAAACTTTTTCCACAAGTTCCACATGAGAAAGGCTTCTCACCCGTATGAATCCTCATGTGATTAAGTAAATATATTTTCAACCGGAAACTTTTTCCACAAGTTCCACATGAGAAAGGCTTCTCACCCGTATGGATCATCATGTGATTAAGTAAATATATTTTAAACCGGNTACTGCCTCCTGTTTTTTATTCACAATCCAGGCTCTTTTAAAGAACAATCTTCTGATGCTGCTTTTGAAGCTGCAGTTAGCTGCCTAGCCCATAAGTGTTACACAAGGACCCAACGAGGAAACACAGACACAGGTGGGATTAAGTACACAAGGGAGCAATCAAGGGATAATCAATAATCAAACAAGAGACACAGGAACTAAATTGACTAGAAAACAAACCTAAATCCTTACACTGGTGTTGTATACATTGTTTTGTGCTCTTTGAACAGCACCTAAAGGACAGTGAGGATTGGGTTTGTTCGTTATTATGGGGTGGGGTTTTTTCTCAATAATTATTTTCAGTAACTCTGGTATGTTTGTATATTTGTAATGAAAATCCTTCAATAAATATATTAAACATTAAATATACTTTAATGTTGCAATGTCATGTTATATGCCACAAAATACTGTAACTTGACTGAACATTTGTTTGATTTACCCGTTTCAACGTCCTCCTTTGATGTTACTAATTTTTGTGAAAAAGATTCCAATTTTTGCACATTCTGCTGTGTCTGTTTCCAGAACTTTCCTCTCTTTCTTTTCTCCACCAGTCTTACTTTTCATCTTTTAAACACCATTGACTGAGAGCAAAAGACATGTTATGTCAGGAGAAATAAAGGAAAGCCAGTGCTATGACTGCAAACTGGCACATAAAAAAAGTATTACTGATTTGTAGATATAATTCAAATGTAACTGAGTAAAATATTTTACTCAAAATGTACTTAGTAAAACTTCAGGTTTTGTAAACTACTTTAAAAGGTACAAAGTACAGATAAGTTATTTTTTAATTACAGTAAAGCCTGTAAATGTTACTTTCCGCCACTGACGGTCATACTTAATACTGAGAATAAGCAGAAAGCTGAATTATTATTGCATAGCTGTTTTACTGTGCGTACTTATACTGGCAACTCTCTGGGTCATGCAATAATATGAACAAAAAAGACAGTAGCATTGCTTGTTAATGTTTTTGTGTCTGGTTCCTTCAGGATCTCCATACAGAGATAAGATCACTATTGCCATTCTGCAACTTCAGGAGGAAGGGAAACTGCACATGATGAAAGAGAAATGGTGGCGAGGAAATGGTTGTCCAGAAGAGGAGAGTAAGGAGGCCAGCGCCCTTGGTGTGCAGAACATCGGTGGGATCTTCATTGTCCTGGCAGCTGGACTTGTTCTCTCTGTGTTTGTGGCTGTTGGAGAGTTCCTGTACAAGTCCAAACAGAATGCACAGCTGGAAAAGGTAAAGAATTCATGTGATATTTTTTCTAAAGAATTTAAGCCAATGAAAGGAGAATTTCTAACAGTAACCACATATGCCATGTATCGCAGCCTTGTGGCAAATACAAGCTATTATGAATCAACCTGTAGTAATTATGCTTTTATTAGAAGTATAGCATTTGAATAGGCTTATTGATTTGAGGATAGATGGAACTTCACACAGTAATAAGAGTGCTATATCATAACCCATAAGATAAGAATTGGTGTCTTTGCATTTATTCACTTAGGCCCAATGGCGAAAACGAGATAAGAAACGTGAGGAATTCTGCTGTCACCATGGAGCCAAGCTAGACTTTAACCACCATCTCAAATGACCACAAGGGAACTTCAGAAATGATTTGCCTTAATTTGAGTCTAATATCTAAAATATATCTTTTTGTTGTTGGTCTTAAGTTCATTCATTTGTTTTACCATTAAAAATTTTTCTTACAATTGCAAAGGAATGGGTTACTGCTAAAGCAGTTTAATAAAATGTTTGAAGTACTTGGACTAAAACACAATTGGATGAAATGCACATCTGTTCAAGGCTTGCTCCACTGCATGAAATATCTTCAACAGCCTCATCCAAAACTTCTCACTCTGAGCTGCTTCTGTTCATTTCTACCCTGCAAGCTCTCACTCTGCTATTCTGTAACCAATCTGACTTCATGTCTTTTGCTTTAAAGGTGATGGATGCAGTGACAGAATACTGTGATATTTAACTTCCCACTGAGCTGTCTGGCAGTCACTAGTTGCTAATACAATGGCCTGCAAGTTCAGAAAAAGATGCATAGAAATATTAAATAATTATTTAACACACTGCATGAAAAATAATAATACCCGAGTATCAGTCCTACAGTCATCCATAGATTCTGACAACAATCTCCACAATTTCATCTTAAGTATTCCACTTCAACCTAATGCTAATATTGCAGTTGGAAAGGAAGTCAAAAATATTGATTAACAATCTATTTCATTTGTCTCAGAAACTGAGATATGAGTTGATGCTGCAGCCTTTTTTATTAAGCAAGCAGAGGGAATACTTGAACATGAATTTCTGATAAAAAATATATATATACTTACCTTTTTTCTGACAATAGCTACAACTTTGAAAATCAGTTTAAAACAACAGTTTCTTAAAACTTTACATTCACAATCAACACCCCCAGTGAACTTGATGATCTCACTGCTAAGTCCACTAGAGCCTCCTGTTCCAATTGTGGCATGAAGTGTGTTGTGCCTTCATGGCTCAGTCCTGCTATACTTTTTCTGGAAGCCATGTTTCCTGAGGTTTTGTAATAATGGACCAAAAGTTTCTCTAGATAGAAAGTGCTGTTTCATTGCATAAGGAGAATTCCCTCCTTGTCATTGTCACAAGTTTGGCTTTTTCTGTTTTGGTGGTTTTTGAGAAAAGTATCAGTGAACACGTTTTTCCTTACTTGATTTTGACAATAAGTGACCATATTCCCTTCTGATTTATTCACACTAAAAAGTTATTTTTGTTAAGAAAACACTGTTTTCTAAGTGCAGCAATAAGTACATTCACTGTCATTCATATAAGCAAGTGCTTCACAGGGCTGTTTTTTTCCCCTAGGAAAGTGTAATGTACCATTTTTTATATCTGTTTTGAAAAATAAATTATTTACTAGTTTTATACTTTGGTTTTATGTCTAACATATGGATATAATTGCCCTTTAAAGCAAAAATTCTATTTAGGTTCCCCTCAAACTAGAATGTTAAATAAATAGATATATTTTAATGGGATGTTTCTTTGATGTGTACTTGTTCTGGAAATTATACAAAGCCAAGAAATGCTTTGCTTTCAATTTTGCACGTTTTTATATTTTTAAGCCGTTTTACACAACAAACTTTTGTGAAATAAAAAAAATATAATTTCAAATCAATTACATTTATTCCCACAAGCACAAATGCATTAATATCTATCATAGGCATTTAATGTTACAATCAGCAAAGAAAGCAAAATATAAGGTAACTATTTTGATTTATTTTTAATTTCTATTTTCTCATAAATATTGTCAAACACAATATTAACACGATTTTTAACTGAACTACTAAAAATAAAAATGTAAGATTTTAGGAGTTTGTTAAAGCTGCAGTTTGTAATTTTTATAAGAAATATGTTTTTGATTCAATTCAAGTCAAAAGTTTCCCTTTGATCCCAAAGGGAAATCAAATGTTTAACTCAGATTCTTTAAAAAGTTATTGTAGACAGGGAAAGATCTCCTCTAGCAGTCTATACAGTGAATCTGAAGTAGCCTCTGACTTAAGATGCTCTGTTTTCCCAAAACAGTCTAATGAAGATGATGGTCAGGGTTGTCCATAATTTTTTTGGTTTTATGAAGAATTCTCCTTTTCAAAACCAGCCTTCTTTATCAGGTTGTTGAGCCTTTTTATGTCCCTGGTTCTGATGCTGCTGCCCCAACAGATGACGGATGAAAAGATGAAACTCTCAACAGGCTTATAGATCTGCAGCATCTTGCTACAGACCATAAAGGATCTTAGCTTCCTCAAGAAGTACAGAAGAAGTACACATTGTTAAAATTGTCATTATATCATGACTGTATAACATAAGACAATTGGTCTCCTTTCTGCCTGTGTTCTTAATGCTATCTGCAGAACCAACCAATTTAGGGCCAGGAGCAAAGTCTTAGTTAAGTCAGTTATAGTTGTGTATGCACTGCTCAAAATGGTAATGGTGGAGAAACAACTTACTGTTACAGGAAAACTGTTTATTCACCATCATCAGAGGCCATGCTAACTAGCCTGTCCAAGCTCTAGTGTAGGGAACTGGCAGGGAGCAAAGGGCAGGGTGTGAGAAGTACATGCACAAGAGTGTTTGAAAGGGTTAAGACCCTCCTCCTGACTCTGATTGGTTGTTTTTGACTGGGCAGTGTATTTCTACAGATGGCAGTAGGACCACAGGGAGAAGGCAGAGGACCTTGATTTGTTCCCAGATCTATCTCATATTAAGCTGTCAAAATATGGTGTAAAAGAAATTTTGTGTTTCTAAAAGTTACATGTTGATTATAAAAGTTATGTAATGCTGCTTTAAGGACCACACAAACTCTTCTCAAAAATATCCCTATGGTTTGTGTTTCTGAGTTTTTGGTCCAATCTTTTACCTGGTTAAAGAAAGTTTTTATTTTTTTTTTCCTGTTATTAACCTATCAAGAGCATTTACTAATAATATTAAGACTTCAATAGAAAATATTTGTTAAAATCCATAAGGCATGAAAATCAGTTCAGGTCTATAACTTGAACCGGCATAAATAAGCCAAGTAAAGTCTGTGCCATTTTCCTTAAACTAATCAAGTCTCAGGGGAAAAGAGAAATATAAGTCTCTTTTAGTGGAGGTTTATAAAACCCTTTAATGAAGGATTTATGGTACTGCTGATACTCCATCAACAGGCCCAACAGAAACATTATAATCTGATGGATGTCAGTTTTGACTTGTGTTCATGTTTAACTTGCTTGTTTTTGTGGAATCATAGAAGTTGGTGTTGTAAATTACATGTCACATTTAGATTGCCATAGTAGTCATCCGATGTTTTGTGAAGTACTGGTTAAGTAAAAAATGTCCGATTTAGTATACATGTTTCAGCGAAGGTAAAATGATGATACATTAAGACTTTATCTTAAAAAAAATGAGGCATTGCTTGAAAGGTTTTTCTATTTGCTGTTGAGTACTGTGGCAGGCCCTTGTGTTAGTAACTATGTACCAGATCTCAATGCACACAGTGATTTTGCATTCATGGATGTCAGTGGTCGTTTTAATGCTTCTTTTAATTTTTTCAGCCAAGTTGTGACTTAAATTTGTTAAGGTGCTTTTCCACTAGCCCCCCTCTAACCAGTACGTCTAGGTTCACCTCGGTTCGTCAGATTTTAGTACTTACTTCAGGGGTAGTACTAGCAGGATCGATCGAGGTATGGCACCAAAACCATTTGATTGACAGCGGACCCCATTCATTGATTATCTCACTGTAAACTGCAAAACAACCTTTAGTGTTTAGAATCTAACTTTAGCTGTGGGCTGCTGACATGGCGTCTGCTATCAGAGAGCTGTATGGAGAATATTAATTATGAAAATACTCAGGAGCAGCAGCAGGAACACGTGGTACCTTCTGCAGCAGAATGACCGTGAATTAGCAGCACTGCTAGCAGCTCGTTTCTCTGAAATACGGACAGTACTGAAAAAGAGAGAAACGGTGTAGCTGTGGTCAGATTTCTGACGGAGCCGCTGTTTTGCGTCCACAGTGTTAAACGCTGGAACTACATAATATTAATTTATGATGTGACTTTTATTTTTCATTTAGTTTAAAAATAATCAAGTTTATTCATGGCTATTGGTTTCTATCTTTTGACTGCATTGCCTAAATACAAAAGGTTGTAATTATATTTACATGCATAGTGAAATAATCAGCTGATCTGGGCCTTCATCATTATGTTTGGACCAGCAATGAATTTCTGTAAGACAAAATTAAATATCTGGGGTTATTTTAATCCATCAGAACCAGAACCTGGAGGTTCTCCATTTCTGAGTGTTGCTGCAAACATCAGCAGAGAGTTGAACACAGCAGAGGAACAGACTGGATAATGGAAAAGTTCACTACCTACCTAGAACAGAACCACTCATTAGTCGGTTAGTGCTCGAATTGCTAGTGGAAAAGCGCCGCTACATTCATGGTACTTTTTTCTCATTTCAGCTTATCTTTTCCTCCTACCATTTATACAGGTGCATCATGAAAAGTTTAATATTTTTGTAACCCATTTTAGAAAGGGAAACTCATACATTAATAAATATATTTAGTACACAGAGTGAACCATTTCAAGCCATTTATTGTATTTTATGATGATTATGGCTTATAGAACATAATTCAATATTTTGGCAAATTTGGATATTAGGAAAAAGTTAAATATTGAAAATTGATTATGTCAGATCCTACCAACTAGTTAACTCAAAACACCTGGAAAGTTTCCCTGAGCCTCTACACTTTCATCCACTATGAGTCAGTGTGGTACAATCATAGGGAAAACTGCTGACTGGACAGATGTCCAGAAGACAGGGCAATAAGCATATTTGATTAAAGTTGGGTGGAAGGACAAAAGTGTGGTAGGAAAAGGTGCAATCGGGACAACCACAAACTTGAGAGGATTGTCAAGCAAAGTCCATGTAAGAATTTAATGGAGCTTTGTAAGGAGTGGTCTGAGGCAGGAGTCAGAGGAGAGGAAAGTCAAGTTTGCATTTCATTTGGAAATCAAAGTCCCAGAGTCTGGGGAAAGATTAGCTGGGGACATAATCCACTGCTGAAAGTCCAGTGTTTCCTGTCAGTAATGATTTTGGGTATCATGTTATCAGCTGGAGTTTTCCTGAAGTCAAAATTTGGGGAATTGTGGCTTTTCATTTTCTGTAATAAAGGCGTAATTGTTAAATTTACAAGAAATAAAGGCCTTAAATATTTAATTTTATGTGTGGCAAATGTAATCTAGATGAGCTTCACTTTCTGGAATGAAATGAGTAACAAAATCTCAACATTTTTCACAATATTTAAATCTTTTGAGATGCACCTGTATGTGACAACATATTGACAGAATATGTTATGGGGGTGAATTTGCTGCAAGATCTAACTTAATTTTTAATGGAGGCTTGTCTTCACTTGACTTGTTTTAGCAAAAATAATCTGTTAACTAGAGAAAAAGTAAAGACTCCATAAATTAACGAAGCAGATATGTCAGAGTCAAAAAGCAGCTAGAAAATGTTTTCAAATAAATCAAAAC